CGAATATCGAGCAGTTCGCTTCGATTGGAGAAGAGGTGAAAATTGTGGCGGCGGCGGATGCTGTCCCCGCATCAGAGGATCTCGGCCTTGAGGTCGTCATAGACGAGGCTATATCCTCGGAAGAACCCTCAACAGATATCCCTACGGCTCCGATTGTTGAAGAGTCTGCTTTGACTCGAGACCCAGGTGAAGATCACAGTAATGGCGGACCCCGAATTGGCGCCGACGGAGGACATCAGCCCCTGACATCGTCGCCGACTCTGTAACCGTCGAGGCTGGATACGTTGCAGAGGAACCCACTGTGGCCGCTCAGATCACTGAAGAGTCCATTCCTATTGGAGAAGATGTAGAGATTGTCGTGGCGGCTGAACCTATTTCCGAGTTGGCACCACCAGAGGAGAGTAGTCACGAAGTCGTTGCAGAGTCCGTCCCCGCCACCATCGAGAGTGTGGATGGCGCCGACACTGGGAACACGAACGTCGAGATTGTGGAAGAGGTCGTGCTCACAGAACTGGGAGGCTCTGTCGCCGTTGACGAGGATGTGCCTGAAATCGTCCCGGTACCTATCCCCGCCATCGACATTACCGCTGGAGTTGACCCCGAGGACGCCACCACTGGTGAGGAACTCCCGGTCAATAATGATGAAGCTCCGCTGGCGGAAGACGCGGAAGAGGCGGGTTCCATAATTCCGGAATCAGCAGCAGAGTCCATCGATACGCCGATCAACGTGCAGCAGGACGCATCCGAACTCGTCGCAGAGCCCATCCTTCTCTCAGACGAGGGCACCACCACCCTGGCCGATGGCGAGTATGCCGTCTCAGATGATCCGGGCCTCAATGCGGAAACAGCAACCGACTCCGTCGTTCAGATAGAAATTGTTGCCCAAAACACTGACGAAGGTCCAATTGACCAAGAGTTTGACGCTCGGGATGTTTCAGCTGCTTCTGACGTAACAGTCCCCGACGCGGCACTCACCGAAGATGTTATTTCTAGTCTTGCGACTGGTGAGTTTATTTCAGACGTTTCCCTGAATCGGCGTCTTACAAATTCACCTAGTTGACACTATCGTTTTCGGAGACGTCACCGTCGACGACTCTATCACTGACGACGTGCAATCCGAACTAAATTTGCCGGCGGCAGACGAAATCTCTAAGATAGAGACGCTTGACGATGTCGTCGACCCGACTGAAGTGCTCAGTGAGACCATTACGGGCACGGCATCTGATTCCGTTGCGGAAGTCACGGTGGTCGAGGCTACTGATCCAGCTGAAGAAATCCCGACTGTCGTGGAAGTTGTTGAGGCTGAACTCCCCGACTCGGTGCAAGTCCCAGTCGATCTCCCAGCGACCACACGACAAGAGGAGCTTCGAGAAGAATCCATCCCATCTGATGGAGTTGCTGCGGTGGAGGACCCTGTCTCAGAGCTCACCGGGGAAGGCATTGTAGAGGCTACAGCCGTTGAACTGACCACAGGTAAGACAAACTGCTGATTCATCAAATATGGTAGCTGATGCTGTTTCTTGAAGCGGAGGTCATTTCTGAATCAACCGTGGATGAGGTCGCGCAAGTGGAGACTGAACGCCCAGAGCCAGTTCCGGTTTCAGGTGAAGAAACGACTATTATCGATGATGAGGAAGTGTTTGCTGCTGCGGAACCAACTCCGGACGGAATTGTTATTTTGCAGGACACCCCTTCTGCTACCATTGCTCTTGAGGAAGAACCTTCCACGGGAGCAAGAGACGAGCAAGCATCTTCCAGTGACATTCCTGCCGTGGATGCGGTGGAGTCTGAACAAATTGATTCCGAAACCCCACCACCGGTCGAAGGCAGCGTTGCTGACGACGTGGCTGTCAGCGACTCGGCCGCTGCTTCATTGGACGCTCCGTTACAATCATCTACCGATGATTTAACAGGAGTGGCAGTCTCTGATTCGGTGATAAGTATAGGGACGGCTGCATTGGAGTCTGCCCCCCCTGAAGAGCTTTCGGAGGATGTCATCGCTCTGGACGTCGTCACGATCAAAGAGACTGTCAACGATTCCAATAACAGTGACGATGCGACTGTTAAAGAGCCTCTGGCGGCTTACGGATACCCCTCCGACGACTTCGACCGTGGAAGAATCGAACACGGTCATCAACCCTGTTGCTCAGACTGACCACCTACCGGATGTCGCTCCTGCTGACCGTGATACAACAACCTCGACTACCGATGAGACCGCAGCAGTTCCGGACAAGGAGGTTGCGGATGCTCCCCCTATTGTCCTAGAGAACGCTTCAAATGTTCCCGAGCTTGTCGAGGTCGCCTCTTCCGACGACGCCGTCCCTCTCGCAGGTTATTCCGAAGCTCCTGCTGCGGATCGTGACTCCACGGAGCCCTCTATAAGTGCCGATTCTGAGGCCGAAATTGATACCGAAGAGCCAGTGAACGAGGCAACTCCAGTTGCATCCGCGGTCCCTCTTCCGGCTGAACTGCCGCTGCAGGCTTTCCCCACCATCCTCGATATTCCGCAGTGAGCTGACACGATTTTTAATTGAACCATTGCTTACATTTTTCCAGTTCTGCGGATACAGATGAAGATGCCGATGCGTTGGATGCACCACCCATTTCCCCTCGTTCGAGACTGGAATCCACGGCATCTTCCATATTCTTTACCGGCGTTCCTGGTGGATGGTTTTCAAAAATACCAGTAGGGAGAGCTTCCTTGGATGTGGCTCAAGGGGAGTTCACTTCCAAACCCGCCTCGCCTTCGATCCATTCACCCGTAAACGAATTTGAACAAGGCGAAGAGAAGAAAGGCAAGTGGTGTGTTGTGATGTGAATAATTAACGAACTCTTTATGAATACCTATGATGAATCCCCCCATCTCTCGTACATTTCACTATTCTCTTTTATCACAACTACGGATCATGGAATATATACCTAATAATTTCTTGTTGGACATTTGCGTCGAGATGTGCGTCGTCTTCCACAGCTTCTTGGTGTGGAAATACGAAGCTCGGCGCCGCTTCTCTTACCTCATTTCTTCTCTCAATCCTGCATGCTAATACTTTTATCTTTTTCACCCTCTGAATCGCACTTGAAAAAAACTACCCATCATCCAAGGATTTAGGTAACGTGACCGCGAAGCTATTTAACGTCCAGTCTTCGATATCTTTCTTTTCAACTCGACTACCATGTCTACATCTAACCGACGTCGCAGCCCAATTCTCGTCGACTCTGACGAGCCAATCCCTCATCCCGATACCGACGTCGAAATGTCTGACGCTGTCCCGCCGCAGCCAAGAAACAAAGACCCTCCTACTAGCAGACCCTCGAAAAGGAAGCCCAAGTCCTCTACTAAAGACGCCCCGCCTCTCAAGAAGACTAGGAACGGTCGAGCGACCAAAAAGGCGGAGAAAGCCGACGCAGAGGAGTCTGAAGAAGACGAAGCCGGCAAAAAGACCGTGAAGTTGACAAAACAAGCCTCACAAGCGACCACCGCGGCTCTGGCGGCTCTCGTCGACAACATGCAACGCTCCAAGCTCACCATCAACCGCCTGTCCGTCGAGAACAGCAAGCAACAAGAAAAGAACTTGATCAAACAGCGCGAACTGGAGGATGCCCGTTTGGCGGTGACGCAGGCTCAGCAGGCGGCCGACGCCGACAAACAAGGTGAGTATATGCGCATATATTCCGGGTTTATTCATCCACTGAGGTGTACAGACAACGCCCTCGCCTTGCAAGGGGCGCGATCCCATACTCTCATGTTACAGATTGAGTTGACCCGCCTCCAGCAAAAAGAAAGTGAGTCGTTCACCGCGGTCTGTCTATAACATGCGCTCAGTGCAGTCGTTAAATGCGAATGTACCGGCGCGCCGTGAGCCGTCCCCAACCCGCCCAGCCCTCGGAGCCATCCACCCTTTCGCCAATTTTGCTACTTCTTCGATGCGCCGTGAGCCGTCTCCAACCCGCCCAGCCCTTCATCCTTTTGGCACTTCCTCCAGCTTTGCTAGCAGTTCCTCGACTTTTGCATCCAACCGCCCCTCATTTTTCCCACCCAAACCCAGCAACCCCGGTGCGCCCTCTCAGCGGACCCGCCGTCTTGAATTCGAAGCTTCAAAGATTTGAATACGTAGAAAAGTCGCTTGTATCCGTATTGTACCCAATTCACGATCACGTGCCTCTATCTTGCCTTGACCGCTACAATGACGAGATCCGAAAGCCCCTGCACCAACGACTCCGACTCTGACTTTCACGAGACCCTCGTACTCCCTAATGCCTCCAAACGGGTTACTCGTAGCAACGGTCAAAATACAGACCACATGTGGGTAGCTCTGCGTCGCTCGGCACGAGACTCTACTCAATCTATCGCCAACAGCTCCCTCGACATTGACGCGTCCGATTCCGATGCCCCCATGACCACCAAGAAAAAGGGTAAACGACCCCAAAAGAAGACGACGACGGCCCCAAAGGCAAGGAGCCGCGCATCAACGACGCTGCCAACTGCGCGTGCGCTCATGACCAGCATCAACGCGTTTGTGTTTAAGCGCGAATCAGACAAACTGGCCTCTCTTCGTCTGTCTATCCGCGCCGCCAAAGAGGAGGAGACCCGTCTCACCGAAACGCTGCGAGTCGAGCAGACTCGCCTCGTAACGATGGGAGCCAAATTCAAAGCTGAAAAGGAACAGCACGGTGCGTATATGCGCACATATCCCGTTTTCTCGCTATAACCGGGCGTGCAGCTGCCGACTTGAAAGAAGAGGAGGAGAATCAGAGAGAGTTGACCGTGCAGCTGGAACTGCTTCGGTTCAAAGCAAAAAGTGCGCGTATCGCCCGCTGTAGGTTCCCGCATTAACCACAATTTTGCAGGCCAGATCAAGGCCAAACCGACCGGGTTCGGGGCATACGCGTTGGCGGGCTCTCGTACCTTGAACTCGTAGGGCCTGTATTTGTAGAACGTGTGTTCGCGAAAATTCTTGGAAGTAGATACCCTATCACGACAACTTGGAAACCCCCTCCATCCGTCTTTAGCTCAGTTGGTAGAGCGTGAGACTGTAATGGTTAACTTTCATCTCAATGTCACCTGTTCGACCCAGGTAAGACGGATTCTTTTTGGGAGCTTGGCTCTTCGTTTCATTTTAAAAAAAAACAATACAACGTCTCCCGGCAGCGTCGTTCTTCGTTTCCTTTTTCAAACTGAATTTCTATCTCGCCTGCAGCGGCCGAGGGCGCAGCTCGCTGGGGGTCCTCGCCCACGGCTCGCTCGGGGCACCTCGCCTTCGGCTCGCGGGGGAACCTCGCCTGCGGCTCGAGGGCACGCCTCGCCTACGGCTCGCGGGGGCACCTCGCCTGCGGCTCGGACGCTCGCCTCCGGCTCGGTGGCGCTCGGTGGCCCATCTCGCCTTCGGCTCGATGGGCGCCGGGGGTTCTCACCACGCTAGCGGCGACCTGCGTGGTTCGAACCCCCGCAACGGTCGGCGTCATGTTGTCTGTTCAAACCAGACAAGTCGCCGCCTACAAAATGCATATAGCTAGACACATTCTACGATCCTCGCATGGTCGGGTCGGCAGCAAATAATACATCGGTACTACCCAAGATATTCTACATTACTTGATGACAGGACTATAATCGTAATGAAAACGCATGTATCGCTCGAGGAAGCTTGGACATACCTGGTTTATAACCCACCGCCACCAAGGATATATTCGATGGCAGAATGTACATTTCCAGCCGTCGCAAGCAGGGCGCGCACGTTCTGAGATGCGTTGGTGAACCCCATGTCCTGTAATTGCTAAAGAAAGACTTCGTATGTACGTTAAAACCTAAGGGTGAAACGAACGAACCTGCAGTTGAACCTGGAATCTCTCCTCAGGTGGCCGAGCATCGGCTGGGGGTTGCGGTGCGGCCCCAACTCCTCCTCCACCGTATCCACCAAGAAGCTGATACAGCAAAGCCGGATCCATTTGATTGGGCGCTGGGGCACCGGTACCAGCCCCTGCTGCGGGTGGAGTGGGTAGTGGTGCTCCTCCCATAAGTTGAGCGAGCAGCGCCGGATCGAAAGCTGGCGCACGCGCGGCACCGGCACCGCCTCCGAATAGATTCGGGAAGGCAGGGGCAGCTGGAGCTGCCGCAGGAGTAGTGGTAGAGGGGGTAGAACCAGGTATGCCAGGTGCCGGGAACGCATTAGCTCCCCCGCCGCCCATTCCGTTGAACATCGACGCCATTTGCAGCATGCGTTGCAGGTTTTCTGGGCTGGATCTAACGGGGGGAACGAGTCAGGTCTGCATGAAAGAACGCGATACACGAGCACATACACCATCTGTCTAAAATGCTCACTCTGCATGAGAGCACGAGCCTCTTGGCCCATTCCCGCCATCTGTGGGTTAGACGCAATTATCTGGTCCATGATCTGGGGGTTTGACATCATCGCCGACATTTGCTGAAGGAACTGGGGGTTATTCATCATCCCTTGCAGCTGAATAGGATCGGTGAGCCGTTGTTGCAATTATAACGCCGTGCGCACCATGTTAGGATCGTTCGGGTTCAATCCCATGTCTGCAAATGGATTCAGACCGGCCATGGCACCGAAACCCTGGTGGCTATTGAGTAGGGTTAACGGGTCGTGCGGGTTTTGCCCGGCTTGCATTGTAGGCAGCTGCTGTGGCGCGGCGGGTTGGGTCGATGTCGATGCGGCGCCAGAGCGAACAGCACCCTTGACCATGTGGATCGTGTGAGACGACTGGATCTTGTAAACGGACAATAAATCCTCGTCCTTGACATAGGCAAGTAAGTGTGAGGCCGTGGAGCAATTTCCAGCTAGAAAATAATTACCTTCAACACTCGCCCTGAAGACTATTAACGGCAAAACAAGGCTCTAGGTATAGAATAGGCTCACCGGAATATATGAGGCGTTGCCTTTCAGCCTCCACATCTGATTTCTCCGCGATTGCTTGCTTGAGTTCGAGTACAGTTTTATCGGTCGTAATCGTAATCTGAAGCTTCAATTCGCTTGGACCTGGTAGAAGGTTAGGCACGAACCCGTAATATAGCTACGGAGGGACTACCTTTAACATTTATCTGGATTTCTGGAGCTGCAGTTTCGTCGGACATGGCAGCCAAAGCTTTAGCAGTAAGCGTTGTTTTGCCGTATTGATCAAGAACATCAATCGGAATTCCTTCGGCTGCCTTCCACAGAAATTCTATTTCAGGGAAAACTGTTCCCTACATTACTATAGCTAGTACAGACCATATGTTAGTCGCTAATGTTTTAATTCAACAATGACATTGATGGTCATTATGAGTATATACGAGGCAATCAGGATTATCCCCCAAGTCCGTGTCAATGAATATCCATTCAGCGGAACCACGATGAGGGTGGCTGCCAGAAGGATAAGCAACCCAACCGTACTGACCAGCAGCGTGTTTCCGAAATGGAGTTCGTACGGTTGGGAGGTTTGCTGTATGATGTAGGTCCCTGATATTCCTACACCGAGGAGGATATTCAGCATAGGGCCTCCGAAGCATGCAGAAAAGCCCATGATTGGAGCAAACACCTGCGGACACAATGAACAAAATGTAGGTTGTAAGATCGAAATACGTGCCGCCACGCTCATGTTTGCAACGAGATCGGCCAGGGAATTGCCCATTGCAAAGATGGTCAAACCGATGATAGCATCGGAAAGCCCAAAGATAAATCCAAATGTCTGTAAATGCGTCCATCAAGCGACACTGACCAGTGATAACATTAGTTGGGCATACCTGCAACACCTTGACTACCTCATCCGCAATCGCCATTATCCATACAATAGCGACGAAGAAGCCAACGGAACAACGAGCCATTCGAAACGTAGGATGGATCGCCACTACCTGCGAAGAGGGCGACGAGAACAGAGGCGGCAATGCCGACAATTCCGGCGGAAAGTAACGCCCACAGTTGATATTCATTTCCGCCTTCATAGAGCCGTCAAAACACTAACGAAGGGAATAATGTGGGCATACCGAACAATACTGCGGCACAGAACAGTGGGCCAAATGTACATTGGGCTGCTGTTAACCACTTGTTGTACAGCAATCCGTGCAGCTCTTCTTCGACTGCCTCCTCCGCAATGAGCATTCGCTCAATTCCTTCCTCCTCAAAATCAATGAGGTTGGCCTCGTCGCCGGGCGTCTTCTCGTGGGAAAGATGGGCAGAGTGATACGGGGTGACAACCACCGGCAAGGTGAGCGTGAGACACATCAGAGCTGGTGCGGCGAACACGGAAGCAACCTGCCCAAGAATAGTCTTACCTCGAAAATGGTGGAGAGACGGGAAGAGTGTGTGATAGACACCGGCAAAGACACGGAGAAAACGTTGCCGGCGAGTCGGAGGTTGGAAATTTTGGGACTCGGTGTCGCCATCGGAAATAGTTGGAGAGGCAGGCGTTCGTGAGATGGAGGGAACCGACGCTCCCCGGGAACTTCTGCCTTCCGAGATGCTTCCATCCATATAATTTTCAGGCTCTTCGGACAGACTTAGAGCAGGTGTGACCACCAGCCTTGGCCGCGAGCGCTCGTCGAGAGGTAACCCGAGGGTAGCATCCCAAGGATTCACTTCGTGACTAAGAGTTCGTGACCGTGACCGAACCGCGTTGTAGTGGCCCCCGGCATACGGTGTAAAAGGGCCGTCGAAGATGTTAAGAGAGGTTCCTGCAGCTTCGTGTTGCAATGAGGCAACAACCTGACGAAACTCCAGAGCGCCGACGAGAGAGAAAGATGGCATAGGGCCAAAAGAAGGAGCCGGTGACGGCGTTCGCGAATAAGGGCGTCGAGGAAGGTCCGTCTGGAGCCTAGGGGGTGCGCCGGGAGCAGAGATTGCGCGTGCTCGAGGTGGCGATGGTGTCATCAATACTGACCCTGGTGTCGGTGAGGAAGGAAAGCTTGCTGAGAGGGATAAGTTAAACGCTAAGCTGAAGTCTTTGGGTACTCACGATCGTCCCGGTAGCGTTCCTGCAAAGGGTTCGAGATATCGGAGTCGTCATACTCGGATCGCACCATTGCTTCGTGGGCCCTCCGACGCTCCTGCCTCCGTTCCCACCAAGATCCTACAACCACAACAGCTACATAGATGACGTAGAGGGCAATCATCACAGCAGCCTCCCAGAATCGGATACTGCCGTCCCACAATATCACGAGCAGGAGAGCGACGGCGATGAACATGAATCCAACGTCGCGGAGAAAATATATTGGCCGGTGAAGCTGGAATGGTTTGATGATGCACATGGAGCCGACAACACACGACACGATGAAGGATGCAGCGCCCAGGAGTTCGCCTATGGCCAGACTCCCTGACTCGGCTCGCATGGCGGAAAATGTGGAGAACATATCGGGACTGCCATTCCCAAAAGCTAGGAACGTAACTCCAGCGACATTTTCATCCAATCCCAGCAACTGCGCAATGGTGGCGAGATTCGGAGAGAAGAAGTCCGAAGCACTGATGCCCAGAGTGGAGAATAGGAAAACGAGCCAGACGAGGAGGGCGGTAAAGACCAAGGGCCTCAGGGTTGCCTCAGGTGCAGTAATAATGGCGGAGATAAGGAATGGAGAGGAATGTTTCGGGCAGAGGACACGACGCCTCAACATGCGCGCACTGGCCAATTGTCGGAAACGCAAGCGGCCGGCACTGAAGGGACGTCAGGATATTCGACCAGCGACGCACACAAGTAGCGCACCTGCTTCTCGCCGACATCTAAAGACGAGACGTTGGGGTTTGCGAGTTCGAGGGATATTCGCTTCACCAGACTGTTCTCGCCGTGGAGAAAGCTAGTTTGCGGCAATTGGCCATATCTGCTAGAAGACCAAAGTACGCAATTCAAAGCAAATAGGAAAACGAAGACCACCCGAGGGGACGCCAAGGACATCGTCAAGAGATATTAAAGCCTCGGGACGAGTGGTCAGACGAGTATGGAGCAACAGTCGAGTTTATAGCTGCATGAGGTGAGGTGACGGTTTAGGTAAACGCTCGGCCCGAGCTGCTGTGTCCTGTCATCTGTCAACAGATTTCCACTGGTCACCAGTCAGTCCAGGTCAGTCCTCGCACAGCCAGATTTCCACCTTTTCTGGTCCCACC